GTAAGAATTTTCATTGTGTCTTATCGAAAGTGAATGAGAGAAACACTTGTGACAATTTTATTTACTGGTCCTCTTATTTGTAAAGCTATCCTCAATACATTCAATGACAAAGTGTGATAACCGTTAAAACAGGGGTCGAATTCACAAAATAACGTAAACCGTTGATTTAAAGCAATCGCCGCTCCTGTCTCTTGATTGCTGATGATGATCAGGAACGCATGACCTATAAACAAATGATAAATATCATCACGACGATTATTGGTCACTCGAAATCGACCCGTTAAGAATGCAATGTAAGTGCGATGGTTTTTTGTGTGCATTTGTTACCTGTTACTAATTAATCCACAGGATCAACATGTTTATTGTATCGATAAAAATGGATTTTAAGGCATAAGGAAGCATTGTTGAGTTCTGAAACCAAGTTTAATCGATTTCTCGTGCAATTTTAGGTCAGGAGTGCTCATCAAAATAAATTTTGAACTAAGTCGATATTTTGGTAAATTTCTAGCTTTCTGTCAGAAAATAAATTTTCATTCTATTAGGGGTAATTGGATGTAACTACAGTACAGCTGTACTTACACCCACTTTCACAAGCATGCAAGCTCACCTGGTCCAAAGAGCGGGAAACGGAGAACGAGCTCTGGTGACGTCATAGTCACGTGACCTCAGGCTCATAATCACGTGACCTCAGACCCAATCAATTGGGTTCTGGCCTGTTCAGCCCCCTGTCACTCGATCTTGAGGTGACCGGTGACGTACGACAACTCGTTAACCCAATCGATGTCTGGACTCTGGAGGGCTGCAAATTTTCACATGCCAAACTCACAACGGTTTTTCGGAGTTGTGCGAGATGACGACACATAGAAGCCGCAGAATTATGAGGACTACCAGATCCTGGTGGAACCTAAGCGATCCATGATATCACGACAGGCCCTATGTAGGATTGTGGTGCCGCCTTTAGGTGTGTATTCTTATTTAACTGTAGGATTGTGGTGCCACCTTTAGGTGAGTATTCTTCTTTAACTGTAGGATTGTGGTGCCACCTTTAGGTGAGTATTCTTCTTTAACTGTAGGATTGTGGTGCCGCCTTTCAGTGAGTATTCTTCTTTAACTGTAGGATTGTGGTGCCGCCTTTAAGTGAGTATTCTTCTTAAACTGTAGGAGTGTGGTGCCGCCTTTAAGTGAGTATTCTTCTTAAACTGTAGGAGTGTGGTGCCGCCTTTAGGTTAATACTTGATAAACGTTCTAAACCCCTTTCCGCAGGCCGCGGTATAGTTATACAACGTGTATCTATTCTCTATGCAGCAAAGTACACCTAATGCCTGTACAGACAGTCTATTAAAAATCTTCACTTTATTTTAATCTAAGCTGATAACGTTTACACTTTACAAACCTAATCTGGATGATGACTGATTTCACTTTTAGGGACCTTCGTGAAAAGTTGCCCATGGTGCTGCTAAATGGTCGAAGATGCCCAGGATGCGACAAGAAAATAAAGACCGGAGAAGGTCACCAATATCAAATCAAGCAGTGGAGATCTAAAGTACTGATCTGTTCGGATTGTGTTAAGGATAGTAAGGAAGCTTCATATGACGATGTATATTCCCTTGGAAGGGAATCTGCTTTGCATGTCGCGAAAAAAACTGCAATTACCATATGCTGAACTCACATAAAAATAATATGATTGCTGTAAAGTAATTAATGTTTTTGATTCGAAAAACTCAATTTTGTATCTGTTATCTGCCCCCACCGTTCTTTCTCTCAATAACTGAACACTTAGGGTCAACAATCATTCGGCCAACAAGATATTATGTTCAATGATCGATTTCTACTTATAATATTATTTATAGGCACGAATAGGGATAATTTAAAGAATTAACAATTTTTTTGATGTTCAGTTTGATTAGTTTACTTCATGAATAAATCATACTTGATATGTTTGTGATCCAATTCTTTTTTCTAATCTATTTTTGACGAACATTGAAACAATGTGGCGCTTATTGCAGATTAATCTAAATTCGTTTTATCTTACTATATGGACACGTTCATTTGAGTTTGAGGATATTGGTAAACAAAAATAATAGCGTTTTTGACGATAGTGGCTTAATTTTGACATCTATTAACCTAGCACGTTCAGAAGTTCTGAACATTAGCCACGTAACCCACACTCCCATATGCACTGCTCAGAAAGAAAATCTGTTGTTGTTAGGCACTATAATGTTTCAAATGTCAAATTTTGTGTGACTTAGTTAACTGCAGTTGTCTAATTATCATTCCTTGGTCTGAAACATAGTAGATTAGGTCAATCTAACAATTATGATACAACATTGGTTAAAGGGCACGGATCGAACGGTTACGAGGCAATATTTAGGTAACTTTGTCACACTCAGAATACCATACCTCTATTCTACTGTGAGGTGTCCTCAAAACCCTTTTTACTCATTAAATGATGGTTGATCTACCAAGTACGGAGTACCAATCATAGCCCTAAAATATGTTGCTTTGAATAGTTAGCTAATACAGGCACTTGGTTATTGGGAAATGAGGTTAATTCTGTCACAATATATGGAATTTAAAATTTTGGGCGAATTATTTATATCTGATTTTGGTTTGAAAGGCGGGAAAACTTTACATGATGACAATGTAGTTGATGCAAGTTAAGATCAGTTGATGTTTACATTGTCACAAAAAATTGTACAAAATCGTAAATAGGTTAAAAACAATGATTATAGAATGAAATAGTCTCTTATAATAACTCTTATAATAACTGATGTGACAAAGTAAACATGTCTTGCCCCTATTTTGAAGATCTATAACTGTATTAGAATTCAACATTCTTTCAGAATCGATTGGTAGAATATTGTCCAGAACATCAGAGCTCAAGTTTAACAATTTCAGGTTAAATTTGTCAAAGTCACTAAAAATGTGACAAAATTAACTTTTCCTGCCCCAACAATTTCAAGATAGTGTGTAAAAATTAGCATAGGCTGCTTTATTACCTAAATAAATCAATCCAAACTACAAAAAAATTTGTTAATGTGATGACGATTACCTAACTCTAATAATAACTGATGTGACAAAGTAAACATGTCTTGCCCCTATTTTGAAGATCTATAACTCTATTAGAATTCAACATTCTTTCAGAAACGATTGGTAGAATATTGTTCAGAACATCAGAGCTCAAGTTTAACAATTTTAGATCAATTTGTCAAAGACACTGAAAATGTGACAAAATTAACTTTTCCTGCCCCAATAATATCAAGATAGTGTGTTAAAATTGGCATAGGAATTAGGATGCTTTATTGCCTATATTAATCGATCCATACTACGAAAAAGATCGGTTAATCTGATGACGATTACCTAACTCTTATAATAACTGATGTGACAAAGTAAACATGTCTTGCCCCTATTTTGAAGAACTATTCCTCTATTAGAATACTATGTGACTTTATCATCAAAAAAATTTCGATAAACTAGTTATTTTGCCAGCAAGGAGCTAACAGAGTTATAATAATTTTTTGTGACAAAATTACCCTATTTTTGACCATCATGTTGCGGTAGTTTAATTGTGACACTGTTATTTGTTAACATATTACCACCCGATAATGATTAATGTGACTGGTGCATGGTACTAGCAGTGTTGTTTGATCCATAGTACGTAATATAAGGGGTTTAAGCTGGTATATCATTATTTGTTCAATTTCACACATGTTCAGATATCATCAAGATTATGTGACAAAGTAAACTTGTTTGTGCCTTCTGTGTTTTAATTCCTTACGACTATATGATATAATAACAATTCCTAGCACTTCCATGCCATTAAATAAACCTACACTACTCAGCATTGCTTATCAGGGTTCCCTAAACATTATTCACATATTTTCTTAAATGTGTGACAGAGGAAACCTGAGTGCACCATCTAACGAAAAAAGTCGTCAAATATGTAGGAAATGGTCATATGTACCCATCCAATCAACTGGAAACTCAAAATTTTGGTCAAAAACAGCAGCAAGGGGTCCATATTTACTCTGTCACATGTTTATAGTGTGACAATGTAACCATTTCCGTGCCGGCCGTATTTAAGAGATATCTTATCACCTGATTAAGTTTTCGTTATGTGACTAAGTTAGCCTAAAGGATGAGACGATTATCCTAACCATCAAGGGTTTGTGTAATTTCATAGTGTGACAAAGTCAACTACACTGTGCCTTTTAATAGGGTCACTTATATTTACCAATATCCTCAAACTCAAATGAACGTGTCCATATATATATAATAAAGCGAGACACAGCCCCTTCATTTGCACCCTACATTTGATCACCATCACAATCACATCTCTGACTTCTTTGCCACACCCACACGGACATATCTCAAGCATCTTCACATTTTCTGTAAGGGTCTGCGTGCTTTTCTATCTCTTTGTTAGCTATTAGCTTGAACGATATGCACTCGCCTCTAGAACGACATGATGATTTTTTGGTTTAAACACTTTAATGGTAACGGATTTCTACTTGGATTTCGGACTTTGACTTTTTCAGCAACGCTGATCTGACATTATTTCAATGTATAGTAATATAGATTTGTTTTTTTAAACCTTGTAAACCTTGTAAACCTTGTAAACCTTGTAAACCTTGTAAACCTTGTAAACTTTCCGCAAAACTGTGAGAGATATACTATTGAAACCTTTTTGACTAGGTCAAATGCAGTAAATGCTTTTATTGCCTTTTGACCAGTACGAAGAAATTAAAAATTGGCAAAGGAATAAGAACTTTAGGTCCCAAAATTTGGACCCACAAATGGTGTCAAAATCACTAGATAAATAAATAAATATTGCTGTCTCCTGACGCCACTTTAGGGTTAGACGGGTTCCTGCTAGTAGTACTAATAGTGCAATGAATTTAAGTTGGGCTCTGGGGAGCTGGTGATGAGGCTTTCTGCTCGATCTTAGTCCAAAACCTTGATGGCGACTTAGTATCTTACAATTCAATCAGCAACTACTTAAAAAAACCAGACGAGTGCCGGCCGGGTCCTAAAACAAAAATTGAAAACACTAAAAATAGTTTTTAAATGCTTATTTGCCTCTTAAAAAATGCAATTTATTTAATCTAGTGTTAAGCTGTGGTATAAAGATAATCAATTTATTCGTATCATTTGCAAAATTGTTTTTTAATCTTTATTAAAGCCAGGATATTGTCGTAGACAATCTAATACGCAGGAAATGATAAAATATACGAACTGTTAGTGCTACTAGTTTAAGCTAACTATTTATTTTCTTTTTTGTTAATCAAATCGTAAGAATTAGGTTTCGTAAGCATCAGGTTATGAAATAATTAGGTTCCAGAATGTTCCAGCATTAATGTTTAGCGATTTGAGATCGCTGAATGAATGTGACACCCTCCAAGATGGTCGAGGACGTCTTATACAATGGTGATGTGTCAGCAGGACCACCCATCTATATTCTATAAGCTGCCGAAACCTTCTCAATCACCAATCACCATGATTCTTGAAAAGTTCCCATATTTTCAGAATGTCATCATCGATATCTCAAATCCTTTAAGAGGCTTAAAATTGGATACCACAATGTCTCATGTCTGGATGTCGACACTGTTGATGTAGTCAGTGTAGGAGGGCGAGGTGGGCGGCATGTATGAGAAGGTCCAGGCTGGAGTGAGGTTTGGAGTCAGTCGTTCTTCTAGCGCTAATTCTCGGTGTAATCTGAAAGTTATTGGGTAAATAGAGAGATTTCTAATAAATATATGGCTCAACAATTCAGCTATAATATTATATCGTGTTATATTATTATAACACGACCACTGATCTGTTCCGGAGTCCGGACCAGCTTATCTTATACTCTTATAGTTCAATAAGAATCCGATAAACGTAGTTATTTTCATGTTAATATCGGGCACGATCAGTTACACTGAAAATGAGCTCACTTGATTTTCGAAGCTTTAAGTTGAGCAGCAAAACCGTCGTTGAAAGAGGACGTGGTGTATTCGTCGTTGACGTTTAAGAACCGTGATCTTTCTGGTTTACTGGGCTTCTCTATGAAAACTAACGAGTTGCAAAACCGTTCTGGAGAAGATGTTATTTGGGTTAGCGATTAATGTAGTAGTGATTTACTATCTGGGCTAACAATATCATGGAATTTATCGAAGATACGATATTTAGGTTGATAAACTATATAGAAGTAGAAGATCCATCCATCGAAAAACAGGCATTTAGTTTTTGTGGAAAAAAGCTCTCCGAGTTCCATTACCTTTAATGGAAGGGCCAACTCTGACGTTTTTAAGTCTGGATATGGAGATAACACAGGAGGTTGGTCTGGAGCTGGACCTGCCACAGTGTGAGTAGACTGGGGTGGAACTTGAACTTCTCGTCCTGCACTGACTATCACATTTGCAATATCATTACCAGGCCAAAATCATTAAATTGAGCCACGAGTGATATTTGACTCTTGACCAATTTCCAAATGTTTTAAACTTGATTTCCATTATAATCATGACATTGACAAATCAACAGTGTACAAAATTGTCACTGTTTACTGTACTTACTTAATGGGCGAAAGAACAGAATCTTCACTTCCTCCATGACACAGAGACACAGGAGTAGGTTTCTTAGAGCCATGGGACCCCGGGCTGTGACCTTGATGAAGGTGACCGGACCCATCTTGGTCTCTTCCGTCCACAAGAGGACTGCGACAGGTCTGGGACGGGATGCTCACCAACGATAGAGGGTTAGATGCTTCAGTCAGCTCTCGGCCCGATCCTTGTACTGATCTTCGGAGCTCGGTTTCGGATGATCTGAAATTTGGGGACTGTGGAGAATGTATTGAAACCTCATGTGAAGTATATGATGCACATGGTTGAGTTACAACATTTTCAACATAAAAAAATATCACTTACATCTGGTTGCTTTCTAAGTTGACCTTAGACTTCATCTTTTCTAATTTAGTCATATAGTATCGCTTGGTTCCGGCTATCAGGCGTTTCTCAAACTCCATGGGAGTCTTTTTACCTTTTCTCTTCTTCTTGGCATCCGTTACATCTGCTGGGTATAACCACGGAATAAATTATAACCAAGCAGCAGTTAAGTTGTCGGCATGATAAATTTCAGCTTCCTCGAGCTGTATATTTTATTCACCATGATCAAAAGCCGGCTAGGCCGCTAGGGGCTGCTCAGTAATTTTAAAACTTTATTCGAAACTGATGCATGGTTCCTATCATATAAGTTGTAATTCTATAATTGTACTCGAATTGTACTTGCACTGTAACTGCACTGTACCTGCATTGATAAGCGAGGTGGTTATATCGTTACCCAAACAATCTATCTCACTGTAGCAACCCACTTCCTCACTCTCACTAGTTGTGGCAAACTTCGTTCTCTTCCTATAAAGTTAGTCTTAGCTGTAGGATTTTAAAAACATCAACAAATAAAACACAGGTTTGCTATGCTTGGGGACTATGTATAGTATCTTTTACTATTGTATATATTATATATATACGATAGTTATATCGTTTAAACTTCAGATGTGTAGGAGATAACACGCATAAAGGCAAAACGAACTGATGTTCCAAAAATTATAATTAAGAATGGAAAATGAACATTATATTGCATATAAGGCTTTCAGCAATACTCATATGCAATATAAAACGAGGACTTGTCAAGAGTGTAACAGTTAGAAGATAACGACTAGGAATTACAAGATAGCATCATCTAAACATGTAGTTATCACATACGCTCGTTTCTTGTGATAGTCCTTGGCTTTAGAGAGGCTGTAAGATCTAATTGTCTTGCTTGTTTTACTGATCCGTCTGTTTTTCTTCAATGACAAGAACTCCTTCGAACCCAAGCTCAGGTTTGAGGTTTTTATTCGAGAAGATTCTTCTGCAACGTATTGGTAGAAATCAGTTTATGAATAACTATTAGTCGTATATCATTTATAAACAAATTAAGTTATTATCCTGAAATGTATTATGAGGGTACTGCGAAGGACAGGTGAAGTGCGAATAAAGTTGGGAGAATATTTGTATAAGAGAAAAAGCAAACTACGACAGCTCACCTGAGGACGTATGTTTGAGGTTGCTGTTACCCGAGACGAATATCTTGCTGGTTTTGTCGTCGTCCTTTTCCCAGACACTACTCCTCTGACTCAGCTGAAGACACAGGTCTCTCTCCACACTGTCTTTCTTTCTGTGAAGTTTAACAACATGTATGGGATTATTGAAATGGGGTGAATTATTTTCATGCTTAAAAGATCATGATCTGTGAGACGTGAGAATATTTATTCCCTTACTTTCTGTTTAGCAAATCGTTGTCAAACTCCCCATCTCTTATGTCACCGGGCCACATTTCTTCTGAAGATCCAAAGAACTCAGCTCTTCTTCCTTCAGCCACAATCTTTTCAAAGACATCATCATCGTGAGCAAATACCTGGATTTATGGTACTTATTACTTTGATCATTATTGTTTGTCGTCTACATTCAGATGCTCCTAGTCCATATTATAAAGGATGGTCACATAGGCTTCGTGGAAATACTTAGTTCAGAAGTTCTTTACCCGATCTATGATAATAGTAGTGATCAGACTGGCGATTTTCTCAATTTCTTGTTCATGATCGTGTAGATAGAGACCATTATGGTGGCATGCCCTTTCAAAAACAGACATAGGACCACCGCCCCCAATTGCAAAGTCAATACCGGAAATTCTTTGATTAAATATAATTAAAATCTTCAAAGAAAAGCCGGACAAGTCAGGGAGTCAGGGTACAGTAATCAAACAAACATGAGGCAAAAACAGCAACAAAGTGCTTGAGGAGACGTCGCTGAGGAAACTTTGCAGCGCTTTTGTCATGGATCTAATCGTCTAGCTTACCTCCTTAATCTGATCCAATTCAATAAAGCTGACTCATTGAATATTTTCTAAGGAACTGCATGATAATCTGCTGAACTTGTGATGCAGTGTCGGCAATGAATTGACACGAGATTTATTAAGTTAGAAAGCTCGAAAATTACTTCATCAATTCAAAACATAAAGACAATTATACATCATGGAAATCAGGAAATGGTAGATAATTAAATTTAAGATCACAGTTACTCAAAACTGAACAGGCTTGTAGCCAGGATGATGTACCGCGTCTTTAAAATTATAGCAAAACATTTCCATCACATACTACAACTAACCGGCATTTCGAACAGAGATCCAGTTGGAAGAGTCACAATGATCACAATGATCACATACAACTAACCGGCATTTCGAACAGAGATCCAATTGGAAGAGTCACAATGATCACATACTACAACTAACCGGCATTTCGAACAGAGATCCAGTTGGAAGAATCACAATGATCACATACTACAACTAACCGGCATTTCGAACAGAGATCCAGTTGGAAGAATCACAATTATCACATACTACAACTAACCGGCATTTCGAACAGATATCCAGTTGGAAGAATCACAATGATCACATATTACAACTAACCGGCATTTCGAACAGAGATCCAGTTGGAAGAATCACAATGATCACATACTATAACTAACCGGCATTTCGAACAGAAATCCAGTTGGAAGAATCACAATGATCACATATTACAACTAACCGGCATTTCGAACAGAGATCCAGTTGGAAGAGCACTGAAGGAAGAGCTAAAACTCGCTTTTCTCTTGATAATCTTTCCTGGAGGGACAGTAGCTAGTCTGTCATTTTGGTTGTGTGATGAGTTATCATGCTCTGTGCACAGATAATCACTTTACTTTGTTTATTCTACAACCCACGATAATCAATATGTTATATCAAGTTCCACATCCAGTGTGCAATTCCGTTTAAACATTGTAACCACAAAATTACCACAATATCATCACTGTTTCACTTATAATTTTAACAAATGTAGACAGAAAAAGCTGCAATTTGTATTTTAAACACAACAAATTACAAAAGAGCTCTGAGTAACCAACTTACCCTGTTCAAGAACGTAATTATCGGAATCTTTCAGACGTTTCTTAATAACCTTCTTATCCTTGTCGGAGCCAGTTTTCTTGTGGCTCCTGATCCGCTCCTGATCATGAGACCTCCTGTGGAGCTGTAACTTCTCTCTGAGTTGGTGTTTAGCTAGAGACTCTGGTGATCGTGTTAAACTTGTAGTGTTTGGTAATGTCTTGTGGTCTGGTTTCTTTTCTGGCTCTTCGACTATCTCCTGGATTGGTTGAAAGACGAACGTTAAAAAATCGACGTTAGAAAAATGAGCGTTAGAAAGATGGGTGTTAGAATTAGAAAAATAAAGGTTTATAGAAAGATAAATGTTAGAAATATGGGCGTTAGAAAGATGGGCGTTAGAAAGATGGGCGTTAGAAAGATGAACGTTAGAATTTAGAAAGATGGGCGTTAGAATTAGAAAGATAAAGGTTAGAAAGATAAATGTTAGAAATATGGGCGTTAGAAAGATGGGCATTGGGCGTTAGAAAGATAGGCGTTAGAAAGATGGGCGTTAGAAAGATGGGCGTTAGAAAGATGGACGTTAGAAAGATGGGCGTTAGAAAGATGGGCGTTAGAATTAGAAACATAAATGTTAGAAAGATAAATGTTAGAAAAATGGGCGTTAGAAAGATGGGCGTTAGAAATATGGGCGTTAGAAATATGGGCGTTAGAAAGATGGGCGTTAGAAAGATGGGCGTTCGAATTAGAAACATAAAGGTTAGAAAGATAAATGTTAGAAAAATAGGCGTTAGAAAGATGGGCGTAAGAAAGATAGGCGTTAGAAATATGGGCGTTAGAAATATGGGCGTTAGAAAGATGGGCGTTAGAAAGATGTGCGTAAGAAAGATAGGCGTTAGAAAGATGGGCGTAAGAAAGATAGGCGTTAGAAAGATGGACGTTAGAAATATGGGCGTTAGAAAGACGGACGTTAGAAAGATTGGCGTTAGAAAGATGGAAGTAAGAAAGATGGATGTTACGTGATACATATACAGAGAACTGACCTTGCTGCTTTCAACAGGATCTGGTGGTAATGGTACTGTGTGAATTGTGGATTTCTTCTTTTTTCGTTTATTGTCTTTATTCTCCTCACCTGGTAAGTTTTCGAATGGTAAAGTCTAAAGTAAAATATATGATATTCAAGATAATATTATATCTTAAATATCATATATTATACTTATTTATATTATATTTTACTTATTTATATTATATTAGATTACAGAACTGAAACATTTTTCGTGGTTTCAGTTTTTTCACCTTACCGGAATCGACAACATTCCCTGCTTCTTCTAGGATTATTTCCTTGTGTTTTGAGTCTTTTGAATCTTTAGGATCTAATTTGAGAGGCTCCCTAGATATTCTGGTTGAAAGCTCCTGTTTGGATACAGCTTGTCGTGCTTTGGTCTCTATAACTTGTACCCTGCGAAACTGTTCGTTGAGATGCTCTTACACTTACATTATGTACATTTTCTACTGTTCTATGGTATACTAACTGATGTTATATAAGATGCTAAAATTGAAAGGATAGGAAATAAATAAGCGTTTTCAGAAAAAATAGTATATAGAAGTAACAAATACTCTATTTTGTAACTGACCGAGCAGTATTATCAAGAGGAGGTTGATTAATAAATACTATATTTTGTAACTGACCGAGCAGTATTATCAGGAGGAGGTTAATTAACAAATACTCTATTTTGTAACTGACCGAGCAGTATTATCAGGAGGAGGTTAATTAACAAACACGCTATTTTGTAACTGACCGAGCAGTATTATCAGGAGGAGGTTAATTAACAAACACGCTATTTTGTAACTGACCGAGCAGTATTATCAGGAGGAGGTTAATTAACAAATACTCTATTTTGTAACTGACCGAGCAGTATTATCAAGAGGAGGTTGATTAAAAAATACTCTATTTAGTAACTGACCGAGCAGTATTATCAGGAGGAGGTTAATTAACAAACACGCTATTTTGTAACTGACCGAGCAGTATTATCAGGAGGAGGTTAATTAACAAATACTCTATTTTGTAACTGACCGAGCAGTATTATCAAGAGGAGGTTGATTAAAAAATACTCTATTTTGTAACTGACCGAGCAGTATTATCAGGAGGAGGTTAATTAACAAATACTCTATTTTGTAACTGACCGAGCAGTATTATCAGGAGGAGGTTAATTAACAAATACTCTATTTAGTAACTGACCGAGCAGTATTATCAGGAGGAGGTTAATTAACAAATACTCTATTTTGTAACTGACCGAGCAGTATTATCAAGAGGAGGTTAATTAACAAATACTCTATTTTGTAACTGACCGTGCAGTATTATCAAGAGGAGGTTAATTAACAAATACTCTATTTTGTAACTGACCGAGCAGTATTATCAGGAGGAGGTTGATTCACTCTGGGGGGAGGGTAGTCTCGAGGAGTAGATCTGGGTACGATGGGAAAGTGTTCGCAGGTTGCTAACGTCCCCGTACCCTTGTGGGGACACTGTAGGGTCAGCTTTATGTACCTGTGATGGTGTGGAGATCAATATTACATTTACTGCATCCGGAAGTCAAAACAAGGTATGTTGATTGCAGAAGTGAAATTACACAGACTTTTGCACAAAAGATCTTCCGCTTTCCTCAGCTAGAAGAGTATATGTTTGATTTATTATTAAATTTTACAACAGCCCCTGGCCCTTTAGATCTGAGAAGCACCTTTTAAATGGATAGTTTCTTGATTGCAGAGTAAGAGGGGCTTCGAACATTTCAAACTCCCCAAAGTTGCGCATGATCGATCACAAACAACCTGACATCTGGACACAAGAGACGGACAGAGCTCGATAAGTTGAGTTATAAATATCACAACTAAAAGTAAAATGTCACACACCAGACGCAATCATCACAGTTGGTCGTGCAGATCTGTCACGCTATCACCAGCTCATCTACACAAAACCAGAAATTGTACCTGAACTGGAGCAACTGTGCTGGTCACGTGACTGCCTGCCAAATCATCAAGTGTTGTGATGATCCGTGTAATGTAATGAAGCAAGCAATTTACTGGAGTACCCCCTACATGCTGTGATTTACGAAGTGAGCCTGGGATTGGCTGGGCCCTGGTCAATAGAAACACTTTAATAACAACACTGATTTATTGGCACTCATTAATCAGCAGAGGACTGTAGGGATTGGTGGGCAAACGCTTGTCTTTCATCATATCATCATTAGTATTAGGTTCATTCGTTGGAATCAGAGGAGTGTAGGGATTGGTGGGCACATTAAACACTTGTGTTTCATCATATCATCATTAGTATTAGGCTCGTGATGTAATTCTGAAATTCTCTGCACTGTCAAGTGTCATGAGATTTTTCAGGTCATCATGGTTTAGCTGGTAAGATATAACAAATCTTTGAGGATCCGTAGATTTTTGGCAAAAAAACGGAGCTTCTTATGAAGGAAAACGTCCAACTTACTTTTCCCAATGGTTGGTGCATCGTTTACAAAGACATGCCTCGTTCCCATAACAGGATGAAGTATCCTCCGGTCATGCAACCCCCGTACTTAATCATCTGCGGGGTTTATAAGTTGGTTTAGGGCGCTGTTTATGTTCTGCAACCCCCGTACTTTATCATCTGCGGGGTTTATAAGTTGGTTTAGGGCGCTGTTTATGTTGTGCAACCCCCGTACTTAATCATCTGCGGGGTTTATAAGTTGGTTTAGGGCGCTGTTTATGTTCTGCAACCCCCGTACTTAATCATCTGCGGGGTTTATAAGTTGGTTTAGGGCGCTGTTTATGTTCTGCAACCCCCGTACTTAATCATCTGCGGGGTTTATAAGTTGGTTTAGGGCGCTGTTTATGTTCTGCAACCCCCGTACTTAATCATCTGCGGGGTTTATAAGTTGGTTTAGGGCGCTGTTTATGTTCTGCAACCCCCGTACTTTATCATCTGCGGGGTTTATAAGTTGGTTTAGGGCGCTGTTTATGTTCTGCAACCCCCGTACTTAATCATAGTTGTGGGGTTTATAAGTTGGTTTAGGGCGCTGTTTATGTTCTGCAACCCCCGTACTTTATCATCTGCGGGGTTTATAAGTTGGTTTAGGGCGTTTGTGCGTGCATTTAAAATAATTTTAAGTCAACGTTTGGCAAAATGGTAAAAATTAGGTTACTTTTTGGCCGTACCGCTGAGTATTTGACCGGAAAGAAGTATTTCAATCTGACATTCAGTGACCCCCCCCCCCCTCCCATGTTAATGACATGTCCCTGCTATGGAGGCAATTACTGATCCTTACCGTTTGAGGCACATCGAGACTTTGGCACTGTAACAGATTCCCAAGAGACCCATCAATCCATTGTACCATCTGTCTTACGGCGTTCATCTGTCATTAAAAGGGTGTGTCACTATTTATTGTGGCTAATTTACGATAAACTGTTCATAGTCCATGATGATCCATTATGATTTTGGCCATTGGTCAAAACTAAAATCGTATGTTAATTATTAAAAATGATTACCAATTACAATAATTGTTCACTTATATAACAGCACTGATAGAGTTTACAAGATGGACACAATCACTGCTTCACAGATCACAAATCAAAGATATTCCTCTCATTCCGTTTAATTCATGCAATTAAAACCGATTTAATATAAAAATACTTTAATAATAAAACCGATCAAAGGATCAATAATTACTGTGCTTAGAAAACGATAAGAGCAGGTTCACAAGACACACCTAGTGACATGACGTCACACCACGTGACAGGACGTCACACCACGTGACATGACGTCACACCACGTGACACAACGCAATATAAGAACGTACCTTGGGATTCAGGTTCCAAAGCTCAACATAATCCACACAGTTAAGCATGACCATGATTTGTTCAACAAAACCTCGGTCAACAAAACTAATCAGCCTTTAACAAAGATTCGGAAATGCTCTTTGAAAGCCGTCTTGACCACCGTTTATGCTAAAGAGAAAACATCGTGACCATATTAAGAAAAGAGAAAACAATGTGACCATATTAAATAAGTAAAACGAGATAAACCGACTTGAAAGCAATAGTGCCACCTGATTGTTAAACGCTTACTAAAAATGGACTATGATTTAAGAAGTTGCAAAAAGTCAGTCAATCTGTCTCCAGATACGCAGGCTGGCACAAGTTTGGGTTTTACATTCTGTTTTAAAATGTCTCCAACTCAACAATTTGTCGGGTAGAAAAGGAAATTAAGGCTGAAATATTTATTTGCTTGTGAAGACTTCTGATACAGATGAAAGGAATTTCCCGATTAAATTTGGCATCAAACAATGTTCTAAGCAACTTGAATGACGGAACCGAAACAATTTTCGTAACTTTCTGAATGTCTGGAAGAAATTAGAAATTAGAAATTAGAAAGATCATTACAAAATTACATGTGTCAGATCCCAATCAGTTAGAAAGAATGTCCTATGTTTTAGCGTGGTATATTACAAATTCATGGCCAAGTATTAAGTATTCAAACAACAGAATAGTCAGTTGTTCCAACAAAATTGTGGTCTGTATTTGGTGACATGTAATAAAGCTCATTGTCAAGTTATGTTTTTATTATATTGTAATACTTTATCGTACGCGTATACTGAATTTAGCTTAGATTAAGTTATTGAGCCTACAAACAGAAAGGAAATAAAGGGAAAGATTTAAGAACAGAACGAAAATCCATTTCTATTTCTGATCTAGTGGCAGTTTAAATCACACAGAATACTTTGCCTTGCTTACTAGTATACGTCTGTCGTAAAACCGCGTGTTTTGCTTCACACCAATTGTGAATACCACTGTGACATTGCAATGAATTGAAATTGTCGAGTGCTTATTTAGCAGTGTTTATCATGCACTATTTTGACCAACCCTGAAGTCAAAAACGCATCTCAGTGACTGAGAAAGTGTAATACGTCCTGGTCAGTTGAGATCACGCGTCAGTTTGCTAGGTAATGAATAATGAAAAGCAAATAAAATGTATACATGTATGTAGATTTTAATTGGTTTCTACAAAAGATTTTCTAGAACAATATAACATATTTGTATTGTTACCTCGTGAGTAGTTTAATAAATCGTAATCTGAATAATAATCTGTCAGAGTACCTGTTTTTATTTGATATAATCTATTTAAAGACACTGTTCGTGTTTTTATAGGTAAGTAAGACTAAAAAACACATTTGTCATGTACACCAATATTGGAGCTGCAGTCACACAAATAACATTATTGGGATAGTAGATAATGTTTTGTCTTATCATCTCGTGGATAAGGAGGCTGCCAGCTTCTAAATTTAGCAAGTTGTCAATAATAAAAGTACAGAAATTAACTACTACTACTATGTCGGAGCTAAGTCCGATCTACGCCAGAAAACCCCCTCCATATATCCCTGTCCCGCATCAGGGTTCGCAGTTCCTCTTTAGAGTTTGTCCCAACTTCCTTCAGTAACATAGACAAGTAGCTTTGTCTTGGTCGGCCTTGCTGTGCTCTACCGTGCGTAGGTTCCCATAAGACTAAATCACTGGCAAGTAGCTCAGGATGTCGGATGCAGTGTCCCGCCATTTTTAATCTCCTGCTTCGTAACTTGTTTGACAGCCTTGGGAGGCTACCATACAAAGTTATATTGCTGACCTTGTCCTTCCATGAGATACCCAGCACCATACGCAACATCTTTGTGTATGTCCCGTCCAAACTTTTCTCTTGAGCCTTTGTCAGTGTCCAGGTTTCTGATCCGTAGAGCAGTACTGATTCACAAGCCGCTATGAACAATCTAATCTTTAGGCTCTTTGAGAGTTTGGATTTCCAGATATCCTTCAGTCTATGTAGGGCACCCCACGCTTTTCCCTTTCTAACCCTTATCTCCCTATCTGTGCTCTCAATCCAGGAGCCTAAGTAGATGAAATCATCTACATTTTCTATGGCTTCCCCGGATCGACTTTGTAGGTCGCTAGATCGATCCTCCATATTCAGTGTCATGACCTTGGTCTTGCCTTCGTTTATGTGTAGTCCCACGCTTGCTGCCGCCGATTCTACTCTGAGCAGGAACTCGTTAGCCTTGTCCATGTCCTCAGATATAAGTGCTATATCATCTGCAAAGTCCACATCGGTGATGATCTTGGGCCCCACTCTTCTGCTTTTTCTACGTTCGAGGGTGAGTCCAAGTCGCTCCGCATCATCGCCTATGGCTTGCCTCATACAGTAGTCGATGACTATTGCAAAGAGGTAAGGTGCTAAGGTATCACCCTGTAACACACCTGCAAGTATCTCGAACAATTCAGTTTCTCCGTCTGGAGTTAGGACTTTGGCCATTGTCTTCTCGTACATGAGCCGTATAAGCTGCACGATTTTGACTGGAATGCCGTAAGCTTCTAGAATCTTTAGCATTTTCCCACGATGTACACTGTCGAAAGCCTTCTTAAAGTCTATAAATGTCAGAACAGCTGGCAGTTTCCGACTCTTGACACCCTCTATAAGACGTCTCAGTACCAATATCTGTTGAGTTGTTGACCTTCCTGGTCTGAATCCATTCTGGTTTCTACGCAGAATTGTCTCGATTTCTGGCTTCAACCGGTTTAGAACCATCTTGTTTAGAGACTTGGCAACTAGGGATGACAAGCTTATTCCCCGATAGTTCATTGGTTCGCTAAGGTCGCCCTTCTTTGGAATTGGTATGATGTTGGCAGTTGACCATTGGTCTGGTTTCTCACCTTTCAATAGAGCATTGTTACAGAAGTCTAAGACAATTTGATCAAGGTCGCATCGTTTTAAGACTTCTGGGGCTATGTTGTCGTCACCCCATGCTTTCCCTTCCTTTATGCTGCAGAAATTAAGAAAATCACGTGACTGTGTCTAATGTCTATAGAACAACAAAAAATTGTAAAGATTGTTGAATAAATCAATCCAACCAATCAATATGATATGTAAGTCAGTAAGTGGCTTATCAATAAAAAATAGCACTCAACGGATGGAAATCAAACTGTCGAAACTGTTGAAATGCGCGGGTCATCACGCGAGCCAAGAACTACCACCAACATAATTATTTTTACTAATTCTCCGAAACTAGATTGATCTGATATCTGTAAGTTTATTCGCTTTCAAGTCACGCTATAAAGCTATAAGTAACGTTAAATCATCAGCACTGATTGGGCTCTATCCTGGGGGTCTCCTGAAACTGCAGTGATGAATTGAAAATCGCAAGTACGCAAATGATCATCAGCTCCAGAAGTCCAGAAGCTCCATAGTGACTTTTCCGTCTCGAGGTGGACATAAAAAGATAATCGGTGGTTACATTACTTGGCACGTTGGCCGTATCATAAATCAGGATGGAGATAAGAAGATGCGTGCTTGCAATTGAGTAGCTGCATATTTGCGTATCACAAATAAGTGATATAATAAGTGACACTTATAGTATGCGGCCCGATTATCTACTCAGACTATAAGTGCCCTGAATTGTTGAGGCAGCTGTGCGGCTTGATCACAGACACGAGGAAGAATTAGAGACAAGACTCCCGGCTCTCATCTACAATTTGATAATTTAGTGCAGACTTTATCGATTCGTACAAGTGCCATATTAACTTGAAGAAGCGTTCGTTTGTGCAAGATGTATCCACTATGAAGTATGATATGCGTCAAAGTAATGAAACTCTAAGAGTTTTGTTTTGAAATAAGTTTACAGATTAACACCAGTAAAGTTGCAAACACACCATTAAGAATAGATTTAGAATTAATGAAAATATAGCATGGGAAATTATGAACAAAATTGATCCAACTTATTCGAAATATCCTAATTTGAAGCGTTTAAGCAGCCTCAGCCAGGCCAACTTGGTTTCTCCCGAAATCGTAAACCACATACACAGCCTTGTGTGCTAAAGTTCCCATGATCCACCGATCATCCACCTCTTCTTCTACCGCGGTTATCATGAGGAAACACAGCTCAACCTTGTGGACTACTTCAGATCTTTCTACATAGTCCTCAGAGGTTATCGTCAACTGGTGTCCTTTCACGGAGAAAGTAAGATCCGGAAAACTATCAACTTTAGCGCATTCCACACTCCTGATGGTGACTCCAGGGATTTCTCTAGCATCCAGCAGTTTGTATATCTGCTCAACTTGATCGGTAGGACCGATTATCATCTCAATCTCCGTGTTAAACTCAGTAACACACTCCGCTCCACACAGAGTGCTGGACCCAATTCTAAGGCTGTCTGAGGTTATCTGCCAGCGCTCTTCACTAACTATCTTACTCCAGACAATATTTCCAGTGTACTTATCATGCTGTACTTCTCCTATCACTAGACTACCCTTGTCATCAGAGGAGAAGGAGAAAGAGAACACCGCATCGTCCAGACCAGCGTTTAACAGTCGTACTGTGAGGGGAGTGCCGGTTGTACAAGTTTTCTTAGGTCCTAGACCAACAACACCATCATGTTCAGAGTAGGTAAAGTCTATATGCGAAGAGATCGCCTCCCCGAACTCAAAGTCCAGTATCACCTCCTCACCAAGCTCTACCCGATCAGACGTAACACGACCTGTAAGATCGTGGTCCAGGAAGTGAGTGGTGAAGTTCCGGTGGCTGTCCACGTAGGTGTTGGACTCTTTGTAGTTGTAGTGGCGGTGCTGGCGGCACCAAGTAAACAAGGGGTTACAGTCCACACTTGGGACCCAGGTCTCAGAGCTGGCCGTGCTGAGTAGCACTCGGAGGTATGTTTGGTCGGTGTCGGGTCCGATAGCGAGGATGGTTGTGGGGGTGAGGTATGAGTCGGTTACTGGTATTTGTACGCTACCTGGAATAATGGTTGCAGTCACATGGAGCTTAGATTAATCTGTCTAATCTTTTCAGTGGATCATTGAAAGAATATAATTTTAAAAATTCATAAAAATGTGGAGATTGTAGATATTAATACGTACCATCTTTGAGAGATAGGCAGAGTTGGAGGATAATGGACAGAACGAGGTTCAGTAGAAACAATTTCAGCATTTTCAGCTCAGATTTAAAATTGACTGGGTTTTTTTGAATGCGAAGCAACGTTCTACACCAACAGAAAATTTAATTTGTGATGAAATAGCATAGCTCCCGTGTTTTTATTTTAGGCGCAGAGATAAGACGATAAGAGCTTGAGAATTGTAACATGAGGTCAAATTTTATAGCACGTCACCGTGTTAAGGGTTAAGTCATACTTCCTTCTTTTCCTGGAAGTAGCACGGTCCTGGAACGTCCACTTGAAGAACACGTCTTTGTGGAACTCTGACGTATGTTTAAACTTTAACCGCAAATTTACAATTATTTGACGTTATAGAACTGGCCACTGAGCACCGGGAAAAACTTGATCTCATGGGACTGAACCTGACTGATGTTCACGAGATCCTATTGCACATACTGACTAGTTCATACTTTGTGTATAATGGGACTCTGTGGATACAGCAGGATGGCCTTTTCATGGGATTGAGACCGGGACCATTTTGCGCAGTGATCAGAGTGTACAAGTTTGAGAGAAGCTCGGTTTACACTGACTTACATTACTTGTCGGTCTACTTATCTGACTTCTACAAGCGGTACATTGACGACGCCACCAGCACAGCTGTAACAAGAGAAGAAGCTCTAGCACTTGTTCAGAGTATCGCAGACCAGGACCCTGACAAGAAACTCAAGTGGGAGGTAGAGTTTCCGGAGAACGACCAAGAGTTCATCCCATTCCTTAACACAGAGCTTAGAGTGGAACCTGATGGAACTGTGACGAGCCGCTTGTACCGTAAGCCACAGCAGAAAGACATCACACTTCACAAGAATTCATGTCACCCAGAATCTGTGAAGACGAACACCGTGATCAACCTGTATAAAGAAGCGGACAAGATCTCGTCAGGACCTCAGGAGAGAGAACATTCATACAGCATTTTAGACCGTCTTATGACTAGAAACGGGTATCAAACACCCAGAAATTATTCCAACAGACGTCGTAGTAGTATTAGTAATAGAAATAGGGAGGATAACAGAACAGTGCTTAAGTTAGATTTTATCTCAGACAGTATCAGTAACAGAATTAGGAATCATATTAAACAGAACAATTTACCTATTAAAGTTATATTTTCCCCAGCTAGAAAACTAAGAAATATTGTGTGTAATAACAGACCGTATGATAAGAGAACCTGTATTATTAACTCCTGTAAAATTTGTCCTTTATTAATAACTGAAAATAAAGATTGTGAGGTGAAGAACGTTGTGTATAAGATTACCTGTAAAATCTGTAATAATATTTATATTGGTGAGACGTGCAGGAGGGCACATGATAGGCTCGGAGAGCACCTAAGATATGCTAAATTTCCTTTAACTCCTTCTAACACTAGTCAAGCTTTTGCTATTCATTATAACAGTTTACATAGGGGGTCAGAACCCAATTTAGAATTTGAGATTTTAAAAACAGAAAGCAACACAGCTAGAAGAAAGATTGCAGAAGCAATGCTTATTTTGAAGTTCAAACCTAACATTAACAAGAGAGATGAGTTAGAAACAATCAAACGTTTTTTAGTAACAAGTACATAATAAACAGGGTGTAACATATTTTATACTTTACAGACAGGGGATTGTCTACACATATGTAGTGATTTTTAGTGATATTTATAGGTTTTGTTTACTTTCTGAGTACAGGGACCACATCTCACACACGCACACTTCCGCCTCCTATTCAACACACTACCCTTACAACATCAATCAAACCATATTAGGCTCCCACGTTTCACACTTCTCATTGGTCAGTACGATTCCCGCCATTTCCACTCCACACTAGATACATACCTACACACTTCACATCATGCACCTGTTCACCGTTGTAGCACTCCATGCTTCTGTATCATGTGTAGTATATTTAGTAGTAGTTTTAGGAATGTACAGTATTTACTATAAAAGTTTGTCGTCGTATAAATTAGTTTTGTTATGAATTTTGTTATGACTTTTTTGTATCGAATTTTTGGATAAAGTTGATTGATTAAAAATAAATTAATGTACACAAAATTTGCCTCAGATATATGTTTTTTACGTTTTGAATTTTTAACACTTGTTTTTAGATCATGAATACGATGTAGTTACATTGAAACGTCGAGTAATCTCCTTTCCCTAATAAGAGCATTTTTACTTGTCGCAACAACCGGGATAAAGATAATTTTACCCAGAATACGCTTTATTTCCATTCGCACTCCTTTTCGTTAACAATAAAATTTTACTACCTCATAACGCAGATTGCATGCATTTCGGATCATGCAGTGGGTGATCAACATACGTACGTGTTGCGTCTGTATAATTATATAATTATATAATATGTAATAATGTATTAATTATGTATAATTATATATTATGTTTCCAAGCCCTAAATTCCTGAGAACAAGTCATTTCACAAAAATCTATATAATCTGGAAAAATAATCACCATTTTATATTCCGAGTTAGTGGCAATATCAGGAATTTTCAAATGCTAAGAGAATTGTCTCCATTCTGTTTACAGAGTGGCGGATTATCATCAAACCTAACCGCCTTCGAAGCGGCTTACTTGCAACACTGTAACAGTTAGTTAATTCTTTAAACAAGCACTATAAATATAAATAAATATTTATTGAATTGAGTTGAAAAGCTAAAAATGCTCATCAGTAAGCCCGAATGTCAAAGTTTAAACTATAATAGTATAGTATCAACTGTGCTCAGCACAGCAAATCTTTAATCACATACATTATTTGTCAAGACATAATATGTGCATACGCAGTCGAAGAGCCGAAAGTTCAAACAAATCGAAATTTGACCGGAAATACCAATATAATGTATTTATTGTTTAACTTAAATTAAAAAACAGAAATTCTTGTGGTAAAAATGTGTGATGTTGTAAACAAAACTCGTTTATAGCAGTTTATCATTACAAACCCGACATGGAACTTGGTTTGACAGAGCGGCACTGTATTCATATCATCATGAACACACATCAATTGAGCAGCTAATTAATTGCTAATCCTTTTTAATTGAAATTTTGCGTTAAGCCGACCAAGGGAGCATTTTGACATAAAAATATCTTAAACAAGAATTTGCATTGATAGACCCCATTAACAGACTTTTGACAAGACGAAAATAATTATTTTATTTGCAAAAACTGCGTGAGAATAATATATGTACTATAATTTTCATTTCATGATTTCAAGGTAATGGTCAAAAGCAAAATAATGCTTTCAGTATTATTTCCAGAACAGCAATTTGACAAGTGATTCGAAGAAAAGACCGTACTAGAGTAGAAATCACTATATTTTGCGAGGCTTTCTATCAAGACTTAGCAGTTAGCAGATGCTTTTGTTGCATACAACCGATAACCTGTCTATACAGTATAAAAATGAGATCAGTTTGTCGCCCATCACATGTTGGCAATACTCACTATTAAAAAGCTCCTCCCCCACAAGTAACAAAAACCCTGACATACGCTGACTATCAAACTGCAGTCACAACAACTACAGTCCCTACTCTGACTATCAAACTGCAGTCACAACAACTACAGTCCCAGAGGAGCCACAAAGCCTAATACTACGGTGATCTCACTAGGTGTTAGCTTAACAAGACAGAAAAGTACGCTCACAGAAAACTACGTGCTCTCACCATGTGGGGGGTAATCTTAGATACATAGATCTAGCTCCTCATGAAACACTTTCCCTCAACCAGCTATAGGTTTGACCCTCATGTTATACACTACTTGATAATTTTCAGGGTGGTTCCGCTAGACTTCATAAAGCCAGCACATCCCTTGATCTTACATCGAACTTGTCAAGCCTGTCAGAATTTTTGATTTGAAGCTCAACAAACAATTGCTTTATAATCCCCAGTAGTATTAAACCATCAACAATACCGTTTTATTCATTAATCAAATCTCAATCTGTTCGGTAAAATGTAGTCTAATCAGATCCATTGTCTGTCCTGATGTGATGGTCCATGGGATTTGTAAAACTGGCAAGGTGGCTGCATGACTTTGTTGTTTTGCAGGCTAATTTAACACTCAGACAATTCGAAGCCAGCTTGAGCCGACTCACGGGGTGGATTCATTAAAAACAGGTGGGAAACTGGAGGTTTGGTTGTGGTCGAATGAGTTGGTATAGGATGTTACAGAAAAGGGTGGTTTCAGGTCCTGGTTGGGAAGGCGCACACTTCTCACCTCTGATAATTCTCCAGCTGGTGCAACAACTGAGAGCGCTTTCTCGGTCAATAATTCCATCTGTAATTTGTTTGAATGAGACCTGATTACCGCTATTTTATACGGATGTTGTGTTTGAGGCTTATGTCTCTGTCCAGAAGTCGCCACAAAATAATAGCTCTGAAAATATATTGAACGGTTCAATCGAGAGAATCAGAGAAACTAATCAAATAGATTACATTATAAATGGAATTTGTTGGACAATGCAAAATAAATTTTCAACCATATGTTTAAAAATAGCTCGAATATAATGTTTATAAGCTATATATAATACCACGGAAAATAACGAAGAAACGAAAAGTCACAGGATCAATGATCATTAGAGATTAATCTAATTCTAATTTTAACCTTTTTTTACAATTTAGTTGAAATATTTCCTTGTGTTTAAAATTGCAAATAAATAAAGATTATACTTAAATCTACAAACGTTTTAATTCGCTGGAAATGATACCGGTTATCCCCTCACGATGTAGGCTTGAGGAATCGGTGAGAGTTAGATAATCTTCTATTAGACAGAGGACTATCCTCCATGTCACTGTTACTCTGAGAAGCGGGGATAGTTATAGAGTTCTTAGGAGTGGTTAGTTATAATCAGCGGATATGACTAAAAGTAGAGGCATATCAAAAAAGGAGATGGAATCAGCCCAAGTTTTATATGGAAATCATCTCCATTGATCCTTAAATAAGATGCGTTTTTATTGTTTATCGTATTAAAAGGAAACATTTGAGGACCAAGTCCTACTGATCAGTGCAAGAGATCACTTACGGAAATGCTTCTTCTGGAAGGAAGAGGAGAGAAGATATCTGATAGTTTGTTGAGGCCCCGTCTTGCGATGCTACCAGGACTCATTTCCTGTAACTTTGTGGCAGCCACAATGTTGGCTCCTACGTTCCCAGTGTCTGCCAGTAATCTGGCATCTGGTGTTGATAGTTTCAAATAGAGTTGAGAAAATAAGGGAAATACCCACGTTAATATAAAAAAGAGCCCAACAATGGGAATATTACAATAGCATATTGTAAAGCGTTAGGTTAAACTTGAGAAGTAAACATTATTGTTTTTTAATATATTTTATTATTATTTTGAGTCTCTATAAGATAGAGCATCTAACATCTCCGCACCTTTTTCTTTCTCCTCAGATAAAGCATAGTGCTTGTACGCTTCCCTCTGAGAGTGGACTGCCCAGGACGCAAACCTCCTAGCTCCATGAGCTCTGGACAGTGCTAGCCATGTCTTCCTGGTAGCTACACTGCAGCCTTCTTGTGCTTGTAACTCTGCTTTCTGACACTGTGGAGGACGTTTGTTCAGTTCTTTTGTTATAATTCCTCGGAGCGGAGAGGAATAAAGGGTTTTCGTTAAAAAGAGGTCATTGCTATCTATATTGCTGGTCAAAATTTAAACAAGTTAATTCAGGGGCTTTAGATGGTTTTATTCCCAAAACGTGCATGCAGCTATACAACTATTGTTGCTATACCACTGTACTAACACAACTATTGTTGCTATACTACTGTACTAACACAACTATTGTTGCTATACTACTGTACTAACACAACTATTGTTGCTATACTACTGTACTAACACAACTATTGTTGCTATACTACTGTACTAAAACAACTATTGTTGCTATACTACTGTACTAACACAACTATTGTTGCTACGACTGTTCTGGATCAGCTTGTTTCTTTTCCACCGACCGTAATAAACTCGACCTCCCTTACTCTTCAAAACACCGTATCCGTGCCTCATGTTGTCTTTGAAATGGCCTTCATAAACGTCACCTGTGGCACGAGGTGTGATTGTTAATTTCAACATAAGTTAAAATTACTAACTTACTTTTTCGATTTCTTATGAATACGCCGAACATTTTTACCTGTCATTTTTGTATTCTGTGGTTAATCCTAGGGGCTAATCCTATAGACATAGTGTCTTGTAAATACAAATATTACAACAACTACTCCTCTTTCAAGTGATCTATCAGACAATAAAAGCAATTTGACGGCATATTTTTTCTATTTTTAGCCGGAAATCCTACCGCCACCATTGTTACTATGTTTCCGGCAAATCACCATTTGCTATGCTTCATTCGGTCTACCATCAAATTGAATTGTAAGCCTTCCATTGTCTTTGTATTATAATGAAGATTGCCTGGTGTTGTCAAACTAGGGTACACGAGGATAAACTTAGTGCATTATGTGCTCAACATATTAGTCATTCTGACATTCATTGGATATTCATTATAGACGTACAAAATATTGGTCTGTGCTTTTATCGCGTGCCGAATGAGACAATTGATCATTCTGTCGGTGTATAGAAAGCAAATTCGATCATTGTCAAGATCATTGTCAAGATCATTGTCAAGATCATTGTCAAGTGTATGTTAAAATGTATGTTAAATGTATGTTAAAGTGTATGTTAAAATGTATTTTCAGATTCTGATAACTCACCTTGGGCATCTCGTTCAATTCCAGGACCTTCTCTTTTGTCATCTTTCCACTGCCCTCTGTATATCTCTGTTTTCTGAAGAAAGCACACTCAACAACAAAGAAATATAAACAATTTAACGACATTTCCTTTACGTTGGAGAACTAAATATTATCAACAACATGTCAACATTTTTATTCAAATGAAAATTGACCGCGTTATGTCACAATAAAGCTCAATTACAAATCACTCACATCTTCTTCGTCAAACTCGCTGAAGATCTTATCCCCTAAAAGTCGCTCCAGATCGACAGCTGACGGGACTTCTGAAGTCGAGTCCGCCATGGTCTTGTTGGCAAAGCCGTCTCGTAACATAGTGTTAGGGTGGAATACTCTCACTCCGTGACCGTCTCTGATCCCCTGGTTGAATTGTCCGGCATAAAACCCTGAAAAAGCATGTTCAGGGTCCTTGGAGATTTCAAATTGCAATAAAAGTACCTCACGTAATAATATATATAATAATATAATGATGATCTGTAATGTCAAGATAAGTCGAGGACTTGCACGTACCCATGATAAAAGTAAAAACTTACATTACTAGAACTAGAAACTAACTAGAAACTAACTATAAACTAAGTAGAAACTAACTAGAAACTAACTAGAAACTAACTAGAAACTAACTAGAAACTAACTATAAACTAACTAGAAACTAACTAGAAACTAACTAGGAACTAACTAGAAACTAACTAGGAACTAACTAGAAACTAACTAGAAACTAACTAGAAACTAACTAGAAACTAACTAGAAACTAACTAGGAACTAACTAGAAACTAACTAGAAACTAACTAGAAACTAACTAGAAACTAACTAGAAACTAAGTAGAAACTAACTAGAAACTAACTAGAAACTAACTAGAAACTAACTAGAAACTAACTAGAAACTAACTAGAAACTAACTAGAAACTAACTAGGAACTAACTAGAAACTAACTAGAAACTAACTAGAAACTAACTAGAAACTAACTAGAAACTAACTAGAAACTAACTAGAAACTAACTAGGAACTAACTAGAAACTAACTAGGAACTAACTAGAAACTAACTAGAAACTAACTAGAAACTAACTAGAAACTAACTAGAAACTAACTAGGAACTAACTAGAAACTAACTAGAAACTAACTAGAAACTAACTAGAAACTAACCTCCATCTTTGTAAACCTCCACACCGTACCCTTCATGTCGGTTAGCCTTCCAGGTTCCCTCATACATACAGCCGGAGTGAGAAGACGCAACACCGTAACCCTGCTTCGCATCCTTCACCCACTCTCCCTGACAACAAACAGCGTGTCTTTATGAAGGAGTCATTCAAAACTTCAAGTTTTATTGCTTTATTTTTTTTTTTTGAAAACAAATAGAATAATATATAACAATATAATTTACAACAATGTATATCGACCAGATTCGAATCATCAATTAATTGAGTCCATAGGACTCCTAATTAGCTAAGCTTTGATACAAAGCATGCGAACTCAAAGTCGCTTTCACAACTTTTGTCAACTGAATTGACAGAAGATCTGGTTCCTCTTATACACAGGAGAACCAGCTTCCTGATAATAAATGAAAGTTTACATCTTAAAAAATTTACAACATCTGAATAATTTTGTTGAGTTTTATATGCTATTTTCTCACACAATAATCTAAAGAATGTTCTCGCTTCTGGCCCGCTGCCACCCGTGACAGAGTACACCAGAGGACAGAAACTCCCATGTTCTACATTCAGAATTCTCTCGTTGTATAACCTCCGCTTCTGAGTCTCAGCTCTCTCGTATATTTTTTCTGTTGATGATGAGAGACAAGACTCAGAATTGGGATTGAGAAACTTTATGTCGAAATAGGAGTTCTGTCCCGGACGATAGAATCCCCTGGCACGGACGTCAGGGTGGGCATTGTCTCCTGTTAGTGTGGTACTTGTTGAGAAAGTCTCCCCGTCTAAAGTCTGTAGGTGGGGCTCACATTCTACGTCTTTGCAAACAGTTGATAGTTGTTTGGCTATGAAATCCCTAACTGAGTTGTGGCGGATGATGATGTAGCCTCCTCTTGGACAGTTTAGAGCATGGTTGATGTCCATTTTGGCCCCACAAACACAGGATTGAGGTAATCGTGGAAGGTCTTTGTTATATCGAAGAAGTAGACTATCCCTGAATTCCCCTTTGTTCAATGTGAACCCATAAGACTTAAGAGGTAGGACAGTCAACCAACTTGAGCTTCCTTTTTCTCTTGCCTGATTAATTGCACGTGTAGATCTATCACTGCTTTCATTGCAGATTAACGTGTATTGCTTTATTGCATTACCTCAGGGCAATTACTTTAAGTTCAAATCGACAACCTGATCATATTGATATAGGCAAACTCATTTATCCTCATTGACCGAAACTCCGTGTTACATTTTTGGCTTTCAACATAAAATTTTCAAGAAAATTAGTGATAAATGCTCATGCTTCTGCGATTGCCTGATTTTTATGTATGGAATGTATCTCTTACTAACTTGAAGTTCATATTCCGTAACCGTGTCAGCGAAACAATGAAACAATAATGCAGACCAACTTTTGATTTGAAGAAGCTTTCAAGTTTGATATTTTTTGGCTTTGCAGATAAAAAATCACATTTTCTCCCATAACTTCAAAGGGAAGCATTTTAGGGTGTTTTGTTGTTCATAACTCATATATAAATGTGCTAGTTGCGGTTATTTTGCACCCTTCAAAAAGTCACTAGCACATTCCTATCAAAATTTTAGAAAAATCAGTAAATACTAAAAACGAAAAATGTGCCTAAATTTGTTGTTTGGCTTTGAGGTCCAATAGATCAGAAGGTGAATGAGTAAAAACATTTTTGAGGGCATCAAAAACTGCGCCAGAATTCAGAGAACAATTTGATGTCGAAAGCATCAAATAATCCGATCTTCCCTGACTGACTTTTTGTTAAAATAAGCCTGAAAAGGACAATTTTAGCTTTTTGACTTTAAAAATTCATAACACACCAGCCTTTTTAGATACGATATCAAGATTTTACACACACCTTGACATAGATGTGAATAAACGGCGAGCAAAATTTCAACCCGATACCGCAAGAAATGATTAACTTATAGCGTCTCAACCACAAAATAATTTTTTCCGAAAATTGCACTCTTAACCAGGAAATGCTCGATTACAAAAATGGGAATTCTCAAAATAATTTTTTTTGGTGTGGAAACGGTGCGCTAGAAGGTCACTGAACTGCCTATGAAGTCATTTGGTCTGGACAGATTTGGGGTATGCCCCCTTAAGAGTGGTTGTTCTCTTTCTAGATATAACAACCTACATTGTTGCAACCACGCATCTGTAGCTATTTCTCGTGTCTATACTATGGAACGATATGAATTTTAGAATATGCCTGCCTGGCCCACAAAATGGAAAATTTAATACCTTTAGAGTTTTTAGATATGGATGAATGATTCCAACAACTTTTGGCCGATACAAAAATCCCAGGTGAGTACTTGGCCTTGGCCAAGACTAAATTTCGTGTGAAAATAGGTCAACTCAGACATTCATTCCATCAGTAGTTGTCACCATTTTATTTTCTCAAAATAGGTTCTGGAATGCTAAAAGGTTTACACAGAAATTCGGTTTGTGAGGATTTGCTCCTGAAGCAGTCAAGAACATATTTCACTAAAGTTGAGCTGACTATGAAGGTGCCAATTATAGTAGAATATTTGAATTAAAATGTCCATTTGTCTTGAAACATACCTGTATAATTGCTATATGCAAATTATAATTACACAATAATGACCTGAACAAAAAGTTCACGCAAATTAACAGTAGGCGACAAGTGTCAAGCAGTATTGAAATATTTTGACGTAAACTTCAAAAACTTGGCACTCATATCAAAAACGTTTATGCAAATAAACTGACCTTGTATACATAATTAGCATGTTTCTCCACGCCATTACCATGACGATAGCCAGACTCCCATGTTCCATGATACTGGATCCCGCTAGGCCACAAATAGCAACCTGACAATGGTAATATGACCTAATATGGTAGTGTTACTATGGTAACTGCAATTCCACAGTCTACAAGAGGCCTGATAACTCTAGTCACTCTATCAAAAATAAACTATCCACAAATATAGCTACCAATTGTTTCACTGGTTGGGAAGGAACATTAAAATTGTAACCAAAGTCAAACTTCACCATCTATTAAAATCATATATTATAAATAATGAATTATAAAATTATCTTTACAATTTAACAGTAATATAAAGCTCGTACCAATGCGCTCCATGCCATTTTCCCAGTGCCCACCGTATTGGCACCCCCTAAAATGTAGCACCCCGTGACCGTGAGCCTTGTTGTCCATCACCTCCCCCAGATACACCTCGTCCTTTGAAAACTCATATCTCAGAAGTTTGGAAGAACTCCGACTATCAGCTGTTCCGCTTTCTGCATCGTCTGAAGGGAGGAAGTGCTAAAGAGGGCAGGGTTACGAGGAAGGGCGCTAACTAGTTGGTTAACTTTAAGTTAGGGTGTGGCAAGTTAATTTTGTAGGTTTCGTTAGGCGGTGGTAGGTTACATTACAAAATTGTATGTTTCGTTGGAGAATTGGTGGGTTACATCAGGGGAGCTATACTAATAAATATTAATAGTTGTTAGCTTTTAGGCAACGTTAGGAACGTCAGCGTACAGCTAATTCACTAATTGTACAGCTAATTCACTAATTACAGTAATAGAATATCGAACGTCTGTATATTCATTGTCGAACAGGGTTGTGATGATGCCGTGTACAAATTTCCTGTTAATCGAAAAGAATGCTTTAATGGAATGTAATACAGTCCTAAATTAACATACGGGTATTATTCCTTATTGTACTCTTAGTTGAAGTTTATCGCACTATTGGGAATTCGGAATTTTGACAACTGTGACGTCAAACGTGTATTAATATATGACGTGCATAGATTGGTTCAATCCTACAGACTAACACAAGGAGCTCAACGAAAATAACAGTCAAGCTAAATATCTCACATAGTCTGTGGCCGGGAAGGAAATCTGAAAGTCTAATCTTGACATTGATTGGGGCAGCTTTCTTAACCACGTCACAGACTGTAAACCTAGCCGGCCTGGAATTCAACACTTGCAGCTCTGACAAATCTGAACTCCGGTCGGATCATCAGCAATAATGGCTCTGGAACGAACTTTAGTAACAGCTAGCCGCATGAAAGCCTCGAGACTGCGACTGAATTGAGCGAGATCGTCCAACTTGGGGCGAGAAAACAGCTCCAACCCCCGGTTAACCCTGGTCCCCACATTACCGTTCATTTGTCCGCTTTCACCTTATAATCGATAAAGCAAGGCTGGGTAAACTGATCACACAGGACAAACTCCACTAGAAAGCGCGATCTAGTAAGTACAATAAAGCAAGACAGGAGGAGCTTGGTATTCTCAAACTACCCCGGCTGTCAGTTATATATTGCGAGGTGTGATTACTAAATAATAAGAGGTCTGAAGGAGAGCACTAAATTATTAGGGCGAGACAGCGAGTAATGGAGTGATGATGTGTGCTGCTGCTGTGAGATTGCGGCAGCCGTGACACGATAAAAAATACCTAATGAATCAAAAGGAAAGCTCGAGTTTCACATCAATATTGATAAGGAAAAGTTCAAAACAAATGGACATTGATTATTTCTATTGTTTGACACTTATTGGAATGGGTAGATTTGGTATATGTATTTGATTACGATTGATTAGAAAAACAATTCACGTTATTCTTACAGGTAGTTAATAGTAGTCTGATGGACGACGGACGGCTAATTTACTTTGCTTTGTTTCAGTTCTATAAAGTCGGAGATGCTGATAAAACAATAGGATCTCGAGACGCGAACACATCGATAATTGGTCAGTATACCGATGTGCAAATCACCCACGACAAACGATCTATTTGTCTTTGATGGTTTAATCTATATATCATGGCATGGCTTTCGGTATACACAAAAAACTTGCTCTTTGAGATAATGTATCCTGCGATTGAAAGGTAAAATCATTGTATTCTATGGAAAAATTGTCATTGTTATCATGATGGCATAAGTTTAACATGTGATATTTATGTTTATTTAATAATTAATCGAAAAGAAGTGACAAGAGTCCCAAAAATAAAATTGGAGTACCACTAGTTATAAAAATCGCCGAAAAACTCAACCTGAACTGTCAAGCAATATCCGGATCGGAACATTATTCATTAGTTGCATTGTTGTAATGATTGCGGGGCAAAATTTGTAAGGTTCCCGTTTATTGCGACAAATAAAAGGTTTTTATCAGGATAACAAAGCATTTAAAACTGTCAAGACAACATAAACTCACGGTTTAAATTAATACCACTTTAGTTTATTTGAGCTTTTTATTAAGAATTAAAACAATTCCTTCATATTATCATTAATATTATTATTATGGAGCCAGGGTGTGGACTGGCTACACCTGGTTAAAACACTTTCATCCCATTACAAAATACTCAATAAATGCAATAGATTTGTTGTGTTGTAATTAGTTTAATTGATTATTGAGTTTAATTACTACCCATAGAATCATATTTTAAACGTCTTCTCAATGACAATTAAGTAGGCGAGAACGAGAGAAACACTATAACAGCGTGTGCTAATTAATATGTAAGGATGAATGCTAAGTAGTACGTACAATAACTAAGTACAATAATTAAGTCAAATATCCGCGAGACTCATGAGCGCGAGCACTGTCTACTATTGTTAGTTTTGGTAGAGAATACCAAACAAAATAGTACAACTTAAATCGAATTTTTGGCAGTTTTTGGCCTTTTATTACGGAAAATCACTACTGACATAGATTTTTTAGAATTATCATTTAAAATGCTCCAAGATTAATTATGGTGAATATAAATTAAGCACCTGCTTGATTTTGCGAATAAACTTACACGTTGAGCTGAAGTCCTCCTTTGTTTCCGGGAGGCTCTTATTTTTCCTGGTATTCAGGTTTGACAAGACGGACGCAACCCGTCCAACCAATATCCCGGTACCTTTCAACTGTCTCCATATTTTAGAACCACCATCCTTCTTCACCTCCATCTCTGACACAGCCTCGCTTGTAGAATAAGAACGCTTCTTCAGGATGAAACTCTGATCGTTTGGTTTACAAAACCTCCCACTTTGTATGTCTAGTGAGATTTTCCTGGATTGCAATTCAAAGGATCCTGTTTTGCGGATCCCTGTTGAGCGCACCAAAATTGGGCTAGAGAAAGGTCCCTTCTCTGAGCAGGACATCATACCCTTTATGTCGATTTTATCGAAAGCAGGCAGGTTTGGAGCTGGTGAGGACATACGCAACATATACCGCTTGTGTCCCTCACTCATAGCTCGACGGAAGTGATGTGGAGTAAAAGGGTCCGGGGCTAGGTCGTTATTATCGGGGGAGTTCATCATCGGAGCTATGGTGATGGTGTTAGCTGCCTCACATAGCTTTGAGAATACACCCTTCATTTTAAGAGAGCTTGACGTCTCTACAGATAAAGGATCTGTATCTGTTGTTCTCGGCATCAGGGGTGTGGGTGGCTGAACTGATATCTCTGGCTTTGGTAAGTTTTTGGGGGTGATGAAGATCTCGTCAGCATCGCACTCCTCCCCTCCTAGCACGATAAAAGCGGCGTTAGTGGAGAAGGGGCTGAGATAGGAGCAGGAGGTAGATGAAAAAGTGGAGATAGTGGTCTCTACTGCTGTCTCCGGATCTTCAGTGCCCATCTGGGTGTCTTGAGGTGCGAATGTTTGGATATCGGGTATTACAAACTCATCTGCACCTTCATCATGATCAACAGATATAACAAGAGTAGTCTGATCCAACATTTTGAATATATTTGTGCCAGAATCTTCTAGTGATGGTGGTACATCCTTTTTAGAACTCATTCTAAACGAAGAGAACGAATAGCTACTACTTAAAAAGGCTTCGCATTAAAAAATACCTTAGCTTGCAAATGCAATTGAAGGTCTTGTGCGTTTTTTAGTAAATTATGAAAGACAAGAAAGTTCATGCGAAAAATTCGGACGAAACAAGACTGATAAACCCGACTGCACAGTAAAAATTACAGCAGAAGAAATCTTACAAACTCGCATTTAATTATGAATTAGCTGAATTTAATGCAAGCTTATTATCTCTTTTGACTGTCCGCATTACGATAATAATTAATCCGCATACAAATGGGATTATGAACGTAACAGACATTAAGCCCCTAATCACCAATCTCAGCCGCAAAGGAAATACACGAGTGATTTTATCTAAATTACTAATTGATTAATTGATTAATTGATTAACAGTACAAGGTCGGAAGTAAGGTGGATCGAATTAAAGCAATTTTCACGCATGTGGCATTTGAGCACTTTTAACTGATTGTCCTTAATTGCACGTCAATTTATCGTCTGACGAACAATTAGTGGATTTCGAGCAGGTTTGTCGTTTAATGTTAAACATAACTTTTTCCTAATCCGTGGCTGGGACGGAAAAATTAACACTTGTTACCATTTTCTCTTATGAAAAAAATTCGAAATACAAAACATTAATTGTAACACATAGTTTGAAGCTGAATATACACTGTGGAATGTAACCACCTACCTGGGATGGTAATGGAACTTGAAGCCTCGCTTATCCTCTTTCTAAACAGACGACCCTTCAACGACAGCAGAGGAACCGGTATACTGAACTTCCTAATCCCAAACATAGTCCCTGACTTGCTGGGGGAGCTCTCCAAACTTATCCGTTTTCTCCCAAATAAGGCAGGAGAGGAGCCCCGCGGAAGTTTGGGTGAGGACTTGTTTCCTCCTAAACCGGGCGAGTTCTTCGGTGGTATTAGGAGGAAGTTGAAGTTGGCGTTAGGAGAGGGGTTCTCAGTATCAGGGCTGGAGAGTTCTTGGCTGATACCTCTCAGTACAGACTCCACAAAGGAGTCTCCACCTGGTGGTGGTGCAGGTGCTGGTTCTGATCCTGATATTCTGTGGTAGTTTGGGACGAAGAAATCCATTGTGTTGTGCTAGTAGTAGTGCAGTCCTTGTGAATAAGGATAATTACTGCTTAAAATGATTATAATTAAATTAGAATTAAATTAGAAAACAGTTAAGATAATTAATCAGGGAAGAAATATTACTTTTTGTGTATTTCGGAACGTTTAAACTTCTCAACATTGCCACAGTTTATTAAGTTCGCCAGAGTAAGAATAAATCGAACTATAGACTTTGAGTCTGGCAGTCTGGCAGTCTGGCAGTCTGCCATAGTTATTTTAACACGTGACAGTTATTTGGGGATTTGATTGGTCGCCGCTGGTCAATGTCATAACAACTGTGGCTAACCTACCGGCTCCCAACCAATACCACTACCAATCTTTGTTCATGAAAATTAAAAAACGTCTATGTCGTAATTTAATGTGAAATGGCACTGCGAAAAAAAAGCGATTAACTGCCGGAGAAATACTTTGATTTATTTTCCCTCGCAGATTTTTCTATATTGATATTATAGATTTCATCATAGATCAAAATAAAAATAAATCAAAGTGTACTGCAATTTATTTATTACACTCAGTTCGATATATAAAGACTGTTAACTTTGGCAAAGGCTTCAGCGTCTTTAATTTTGACCATTTTAAAGGCTTCACCGTCTTTAATTCATCGCATAGCAACCCATCTTTAAATTTGCTGGTATGAAGTAAAGTCAGGATGTGAAATGTGCTTAATTATATCCGATCTATTTTGAGACCTGTTGTGGCGTCTTTTATTTTTTAAGTTTGAAGCCTTGCTGTCTTTAATTTTTGTTCATTTGATCGAGGGTCTGTCTTTATAAAATATAAAGCTCGTCTTTATAAAACAAACCAAGTGTATCACACTAAATTACAAACCGTAAATTTCAAATTAAGCTTGTGCTCATGAAAAACGTTACATGTTCAATTACTGAGAACGCACTTAGCGGTTCACTATAGTTGACTGCAATAATCTAACTCATTTCCCGTTATCAGTTCTGCTACAATGCGCGTGCAGTACGATAAGACTATCTTCGATCACTACTGTGTTATCTGTATAACCAAAGCATAGCAATATACAACTACAAGTAAACCATATGGTTCTAAGGTCACCACAACGAAACAAGGTAAAGCAAGGTAAAACAGAAAACCCAACCTATTATTCTATTATAGATACTAGCAACCGCAACGAGACTATTTCTCAATTAGTGGTTACTAACAACTAGCAACTGTTTCCACAACCTACGGTTACAAGTACAAGCATTTAATTGAGGCATGTCAACAGTCCAAGACACTTATAAGCAACAGTTTGACAGCAAAAAACAAGTGTTTTACAATTTAAGGAAGGTTCAGAAACTGTAGCCTGCAGTAGAGATTTTCAACAAGTTTAAGTGTCATCAAG